TGTGCGCGCGCGCCCTCTTGTGCAACCTCCTCCCCCTATCGCGACGTCCTCATCCTCCCTCACGGCCCCCTCCCGTTCACACGAGATCCTCCCCTAGCACGACCTCCTCCTTCCCCTGCCGCATGACCTCCTGCAACCTCTCGTCCCCAGCGTGCGACCTGCTCCTACCCCTCCCACGACCTACTCCCCTTCCTTGCACAGCGTCCTCCTCCCCCTCGCGCGGCCTTCTCACACCTCTCTTCCGACCTCATCCAGCTCCTCCTCCTCCTTACACCACCTCTTCCTCTCGCTCATGTGGCCTTGTCCGACCTCCTCAAACCACTCACGCGACCTCCTCCAACCTCCCTTCCGACCTCCACTGCAACCTTTCATCCTCCTCGTGCGACCTGCTCCTCCCCCTCTTCCGACCTCCTCCTCTCCCTTCCGCCACCTTCTCTTCCCCTTTGTGCAACCTCTTGCTTGTCCTTGTGCAAACTGCTCCTCCCCTTCCCAACCCGTCTTCCGATCTCCTCCTCCCCCTTACGCAACCTTCGTGCAACCTCCTCCTCCCGCTTGCGCGACCTCCTCCTACCCCTCGTGTGACCCCCTCCTCCCCCTCGTGCGACTTCCTCCCTCTCTTCCTCCCCTCCTCCCCTTGCGCGACCTCCTAATCCTTGTGCGAACTCCTCCTCCCCCTCACGCGTCCTCTTGCCCCTCCTCATCCACCTCGCACGACCTCCTCCCACCTCTATTCCGACCTCCTCCCCCTTGTGAGACGTCTGCTTCCCCTCGCACAACCTCCTCCTTGTGCGACCTCCTCCTCCCCCTCTTGCCACCTCCTCCAACCTCTCCTCCTACCTCCTTCCCCTTGTGCAATGCCGTCCTTCCCCTCTTCCGACCTCCTCCTCCCGCTTGCACAACCTCCTCCTCCTGCTTGCACAACCTCCTCCTCCCCCTCGCATGACCTCCTCCTCCCACTCTCCGACTGCGCCTGAATAGTAGCATGCGAAAAACCACCCAAAAGGCGGGGATTCAAAAAAAAAAAGAAACAACTGCATTCGTCTGCTCCCTTCCAAGTGCGAGGGGCGCGGCAGCGAGTCCGCCTGGGCCCGACGCGCTGCGTTGCGCTGCGCTTTCGTCCGTTTTCCGTATGCGGTTCCGTTTTCAGCCTGGCGCCCGGCAGCGAGTCCGCCTGGGCCCGACGCGACGCGCCCCTCCGATTTACAGCGAGAAGACCAGCGCGTGGCGTGGGCCCGACATTTTGCGCGGCACCAAATTTCCTTGCCCGACCCCGAATTTCCTTGGGCCCCCTGGGAAGCGTCACGTCGGGCCCTCTACAGTTTTTAATAGTTTAGGGATATATATCGTCAAACAGAGCTGCCCTGTTAACCGTAGGCAGAGAGGGAGAAGAGGACAAGCAACGAGGGGCTGTGACAAACTGCTTTGTTGGAGTTTCACCGACTTGTCAGTTACAAAACTGCCCAGTAAGAAGATGACAACAGAAGAGGGGGTTGTGACACTGTTTTGTGACTTTGACGGAGTCTTACCGACTCATCAGGAGGATATTTATTATATATATATAAACAGAAGCTTATGGTTCTGGCTCCGTCTCCATTCTGGGGAGCATAAGTGCGGTTCCTATTCCACCGGCAAGTCAAAGGGAATTACAGCATTTACTCAAGCACGCTCCTCCCCATTATGGTTGAGAGGTCCGAGTGGACGGCATCGTTTACTTCCCGTAGGAAGGATGTACCACCGCTCACCCCTGCCTAGGTTAACCTGATTGTCGTACGTTTGGAGCTACCTTCTACCCAGATCTTTGGTTCTGCTAGACTTTGACCGTGACCCTACCTGTAGGGTATGTCCCTTGCTTGCTCCTCTCAGCTGCATGCTGTCAGATGTGCTTGGAAGACAAGATCAACATTTGCTGCTATCGTCTGCACCTGGTTGTCTTTCCTATTGGTCTATTGTTCCTGAACGAATTACCATCTTTGGGACCCCTCTGCGTCCCCTTACTGGCAGGCGTACTAGCCTTCCTTTCTACTTTTTATAGGAGAAAAGAAAACCCACCCTCTAGCCATTATCCACAAATGAACCATATTGCTCTGCAAACCCCGAGGGGTCCTACGCGGTCTGCTCGTGGCGGACTCTGCTAAAACCCTAAACCCTAGGATGCTCAATGAAGAGCCCCCTGAGGGGAACCCGTTGGATTCCATTCGTTGAGAGTGGCTATGACCTCAGGAGGAGGGAGACTGTTGCATTATTCTTCTATCATCGGCACATGGCAGGTATGTTTCACCATATCTACCAGCTCAGCAAGGTGTTGTTGTGAGAGGGAGGGAAGCAACTCTTGGCCAACATCTTACACCAGTGGGGTTGTCAAACAGTGGGGTTTTCTCCTATGTGGGGTTTTCTCCTGTGTGTTTTCGTTGTTTGCTGTCTTTTCCAAGGAGGTGGGGCATTTTTCTCGTGTGCTGTTTTCTAGGCAGATGCATCCGTATTCTCCACTTGTCCTACTTGGGGGAGAAAGTAGCACGGAAAACATTCCACAATGATGTTTTTCTTTTTCCTTTAGCCTCCAATTTTAGGGATGAAAGACATCATCCCTACACTGGGGGCCTGTCCTTTGTTGATAGTGCCACGAGATCCGTAAAGAGCAGCACGCGCTCAGCCTGGCAATCAGCGCCAGCATCTCTAAGACACACAATATAAGAAAAGTTGAAAAGACAAACAATAGTGGGATTTAGTCCAATTTACAGCCTTATGTTCTTCTTTTTCACTCTCTTCTTCTCGCTGGCCAGACCTCATCGTTCCCGTTGTCTTTGGAAAAGTTCATCATTGTACCTGTCCAGTGGCTGAACGATACAGACATGTAACTGTTAATAAACAGAACATGATTGCAAGTCCTGGTGGATTGCATGATGTTGGCGGTTACCCCCTTTCTCCAATAATATGAGGGGTTACCTCTTTCCCAATAATATGAGGAGCTACCCCTTATTTATGTACTTGGTCTAGGTTTGCTTCACAGACACGTGGCAACATATAGACTTCACAGTTTGCAGTACTAGGCCCCACCTGGTGGCATGCTGTTCTACTCATGACTGATTCTACATTTAGAAGTTAAGACAGTCTAGCTCAGTGGTTAGAGCGCTGGTTGGAAATGCGTATTGTGGTATGAGGTTGCGGGTTCAAATCTGCAGCCGGCAGGGCATTAGAATGACGCACGGGTGGACACACACCCCCTTGGGCTGACGCAGGGTAAGCTATTAGTACATACACTGCCTGAGCAGCACCCAAGGGTTGTCCACAATGTTGTATGTCGGGTCTTGATACTGCGTGGGTTGCTTGTCGTTGTTGCTTGTGGTTGTTCTGTTGATCTCCCCAGTTTAGCATATCACACACACGTGCAGTTTGCGATTGTTGCTCAAATGTTAGAGTCTTCAGGTCACATGTCATAGATCATGGATTCGAGTCTGGCTTGGGACTTTGGGGGTTTTCTTGTCCAGCTTGGCCTGTCATCTCTTCAACGAACACATAGTTCTCTCTACATAGTACGACACATTCAACGAACACATAGTTCTCTCTACATAGTACGACACATATCTGGCCTTTGGGCACATACATCTCGCTATACAGTTACAAAGAGCACCCATAGCCTTCGGGCAGACACAAAACATGGCTCGTGAACATATATACACATAGCCTACGGGCTCATACAAACATGCATAGCCTCTGGGCATACATATACACACAACTATGATGCCGGGCTGGGGGGGTCTATCAGGTATATGACGGGGTCTACTCACACATGGCTTAGCTCTAGGGTAGGGTAGGGATATAAGTCGCTCTGGCTAGTCTGAGTTCCGCCTAGCCTTGGGTAAGTTAGGGGCAGGACGGTAGGATGTGTCCGTGGGTGCTGGCTTGCCTTGCTTAGGTACTCCTGCTGGGTAGACTCTCTGAATTGGGCCTAGAGAAGATTGCATGAGCCTGGCGTCCGAAGTTCCCGTACGGCAAGGTTCGTCCGCTTCCGCGTCCACTAGGGCTGGGTGGTTGGTCCAGCCTTGGTGCTTGTCACTGCTGTCTGGTCCAAGTTGCCCTCGATACTCGTAGGGTGATGGTCCTCAGTGCTGGTCACACTGAGGTAGGATAGTAGGGACAGGGGGTGCGCTGGGAGTATTAACGTGGGGATGGGTAGGGTAGGTGGCCTATCCTGTCAGGACAACCGTTGGCCGCCGCTGCCAGCAATCACCGCGAGTCTGGTCCTTGGCCTCTACAACACTCTGGGCTTTTTGAAAAGAAAGAAGGAAAGAAAAAAGAAAAAAAAAGAACAATCTAAACAGTATCTCAGTACACCTCTCACCTACCTGCCGTGCTCCTTGCTCTGCCGACCCACACAATCCAATTTGGTACCTTGGTGTTCTTTTTTCTTTTTTTTTTTCCTTTTCTTTTTTTTAAATGTAAGTCCAGGTTCTTGTAGAGGCTGGCCACCAGGCATATGACAGGCCCTTCAGCAACCGGCCATTTGATCATCCCGATGCATTGCCTAACCAGCCCCCTACAAGACACCCCTTTAAAAAAAAAAAAAAAAAAAAATTCCACCCTCGACAACAGATAGGAGTGATAATGAGTGCATACACTGCTACCTATCTTTCAGGGGCTCCAGTCTATTGGTGGGGAGCTACACTTGCTGGAAAGCGGGTCCAGCGTTCCCTGAGATAAATCATTTAGTTGGTAAATCAGGATGTGCTGGGAACCAGGCCCAGCGGACCTCATGAACTTTAGATAAATGCCTCTGATGATGGTGAAGATGCTGATGATAAGGACCTAAGGCTGAAAAGATGATGAAGTTAATCTGTGAAAAACTATAGAAACTATACTACATCCGCAAAACGTGGCCTCACAATCCATGAGCCGCACCTAGCTTCCCTGTATGAGATACAACACCCCAGAGACAATAACCTCCTAAACAATACAAGCCATAACCTCTGTGTTTTTGCCACCAAGACTCTTAGGTTGTCATGACAGCGCCCCCCAGTTTGCCACTGGATTGTCTTCCTCCCTCGACTAATCCGCAGATCTCTCTACCAGGCCTCACGCTCCTGTTGCAAACAGGTTACAAGGCTACACGTCAACACCGGCCAGAGTCATTCCGGCATCGGCAGACCAGGAGCACAAAACACAACAACTATGCAGATGTCAACCAGGAATCCATGACCTTTGGTGTTCTGAAAAATGGTACCCAGCAGCACATGAGTGCAAACATTGTTCAAAGAGTTGAGGTGGAATGCTTTTGATGGTTTGTACTAAACCCTTGGCGGAGGCAGATAGTGGCAAGTTGTTTATCTACTTCCACGACGAGAGGGATTGGTTTCCCCTGCTATTCCTTTTTTGTCGCGGAGGGAGTGGGTGATGGTTGGGTAGGTCCTGCATCTTTCGATTTTGCGAGGTTTTCTAGCATGTGAGCCCCCCTGATTGTCGGCTAGGGTTTTGGTGCTCGCTTCAGCTTACCTCGCCTTGTTGGGGGGCAAGAGCAGTAGGTAAGTGCCGTCTGGACGAGCATGAATATATCTGGATGGGGAAGAGGTTGGCTCTGCAGTGCCACGTGGGAGCTTGCTGAGGATCTTGAAGACCCCCCTGGCTAGGGGGCTGCACTACAGTGAAAGTTGTAGCTGATCAAGATCTCAGCCAACCACAGATTATCAGCGTTAATTTTTTATTGCTGAGGCATCAGGCCAGCAGCATCTTGAAGGCCAAGATCCTGTGGATCTTGGTAGAGCTCTGCTCTTGGCCATCCAAGGGGGTATCACCCTTCTACCACTAACCTACTATCCCCCAATCCCTCTCCACTCATCTTTTTCTTTTCTCTCCTATCCTCCCCACTCACCATCTTCCACTAATCTCATCTATTCCTCCTCACCTTTTCCATATCCTTCTCTCCCATTCTACCACCCTCCTCTCCCCCTTCCCTCCCCCAACTACAACCCCATCATCTCCAACTTTACTTTTTTTTTCTCTTCTCACCTATTTCTTTTTTTCTTAATCACTTTTTCATCCCCCAACCCCACCCAACTTCGATTTTCTGTTTTTTCTTCTTTTCTCTTTCTCTTTGATTTA